GGGGGGAAGAAGACAGACGGGGGGGAGGAACAAACCCAAAAAATTAAAATCAGGTACAATGAGGTCTTACTGTCTAGCGTGTTCTTTATTGGCATATGTTACATTCACTACTGCAGTCTCCGTGTCAGTGTTCACTGTGGATGGAAAGCAAAAAATAAATAAATTAGCATGCCTCCAATACAGTAGCAATCAGGACTATTGCTCATGCTAGCCATACCTTGCTCACAGTTTTCCACTGTTCCATATTGTGCTAGAAGACTGTCCAGTACCTGAAAAATAAAAGAGTGCCAGTTAAAGGCTGCAGAGCAAAGTCCATACATTTCATATGTAGCTGAAAAGAGACGCATTCATTTTTAATGACTAAGTAAATGTAGCTTGATTGTCACATAAATTGATCTATAAGATCACAATGCAACAAGATATACATGGCTGCCTTCACCAATCAATAAAAGCGTAATTATGTTCATGCTTTATCTCTGGTCTTACTAATATTGGTACAATCAAACTGAAACACAAAGAACATAATGAAAAGCAACACTGCCGAGTAATTTGTCAAGAGGCTAGGGAGGAGATCCATCTTCCTTGTTGGGCAGATAAAGGATATGAATAGCAATGGCGCACATGTATTTGTGCCTACATTAGAAATAAATGGCAATGCACAAGATATCAAATTACATCTTAAAAGTCATGTTTCTAGAGCACATTGGCTTAAGGCCTTTGTGCCTAGAGGCTGAACGGATCTATACATTACAAGTAAGGGGGGATGGGAGGTCTGCACATGGGACAGACTTCTTCACATTCCACATGCCTCATTCTTATTGGGTAGATACCAAGTGCTGGGGTTTTACTACCATAGTACAAGGCTGCAGCTTCCCTTAAATGTGAAAAAGGAGACTAGGGGAGGACAGGGGCCGAGCAACAGACGGAAACTTCTTTGCCAAAAAGGAAAGCGATTAGGCGCAGGATTCCCTAAATACAGAACAAAGGATTGCTCTGGTGGTGGGGGGGAAAACATTGAAGGCATAGTAATATAATACCCACACAGGAACTACATTTCAGAGGATAATGAAAAAATGCATCGTGCAGCAGACAGAACAATGAGATCATATACAAAATATTGGCTTTGCCTTGATTTTGGGGCCTAAATACATTTCAGCTCTGGTCCGAGATGCCTACTGTGCTCAAATGGAAATTCTCTTTTTACGATGGATCATATGACAAGGTCCCTGTTTTATGGCGTCATAGTTCAGGAACACTGTATTTTGTATTCGTGCGATAACCAGGAGAGGTGAAGGAAAGCTTAGAATTGCACATGACTGAAAGCCCTTCAAGGCCTACGGCAGGAGTGGCTGACCTTGCATTCTTTGTGCATTGTATGAAAGGATCAGCCAGCAGCAAGGTGCTTAACACTAATCCAGTGCAAAGGTTTGCACAGCATTTCACATAAAATTGAAATGTCTACTGGCCATAGCAGGATCCACAACAGAGACCTCAGGGGTCAGAGATGATGATGATTAGGAGCTGCAATCCAAGACGGATACTATGAAAAATATATATCAGAGTGCCCCATATACAAGGCCCTTCTTTAAGGCCTGGTTCACACCTGGGCGTTTTACAGTGCGTTCCTAGGCGCTATAAAACAGTCAACATGGGAAAACCAATGATTGCCAATGGGCATGGTTCCCACCTGGGCGTTTTACAGCGCGTAGGAACGTGCTGCAAAACGCCCTACGCCCAAAGAAGTACAGGAGCTTCTTTGGGGCGTATTTGCCTCGCGTATCCATTAGGATACAGCCGGATAGCCCTTGGAAACATTTTTTTTACCGCGAATCGCGGTACAAACGCGCATATTCGGTACGTCTAGGTGTGAACCAGCCTTACAGAAAGCACATAGCAGCTGTGGCCCATTAACCACAGAATCCAATCAGAGGTGCTTTTCATCAGACTATTCTAAACACAGGGAGGCCAATAAGTCATCTGTTGCTTTTGGTTTGTTGCACATTTTTGTAATCTGTCATTTGAAAAGCATACAGAGGCAAATTCCACCCTAAGGCGGGGTTCCCACCTTGGCGTACGGAATATGCGCGTCTCGTGCCACGCGTTTTTACCGCGATTTGCAAATATGCCCCAAAGAAGCTCCTGTACTTCTTTGGGCGCAGGGCGTTTTACAGCGCGTTCCTATGCACTGTAAAATGCCCAGGTGGGAACCATGCCCATAGGCAATTATTGGTTTTCACATGTTGAGCGTTTTACAGCGCGTAGGAACGCGCTGTAAAACGCCCAGGTGTGAACCAGGCCTAAATATTGTAAGGCAACCCAGTTATAATTCCAATGTATTTATTACATGTATTTATGTAGCACCAACAATCTACACATTCACATCAAATCAGCCTGAATCAGTCACAGCACGGAACTAAAAGCTAACAGGGTTGCTATGTTATTTCCCAATGTAAACCCCCATTGGTGGTGAACTTCTCTTATTGGCTCCCTTTCAGCCTGTTAATGTCATTAAAAAGGGTTTTCATATACATGCTCTGATAAAAGAAAAAAAAAAAACAACAACAACAACAACACACACACACGATCCTTGCTGAAATCCAGTGAACTTCTAACTTCCTGTAGTGATCCAAAAATGCTGCACTGAAATCTTAAAACAATTTTATCAGCTCTGCCTGAGTTCTCTGAACTACAGAAGGTCTTCTTGTATGTTATGGAAATGAGAAAGAGGGGAGGTGTACCATAGTCCTACACGCTTATTGTCCTAGGGAGATAATGCTGCTCCTTTATACAGTATAGTGCATTGTTGTTCTGGGATAAGAAGGTGGGCTACTGGCAGGATCACCAGGGGAAAAAGGAAAAATTGGGTATCTTAAACACACCAGACATGCAGCTTTACCACCTTTGCAGTCAAATTTAAGAAACACACAAAATGTATGTTATGTGTTCCATATTGCTCAGCTTTTATTGTTCTGTATAGCTTGCAATGTGCAATTAAGGGACAGATTGGGGGGATTTGAGTGCATTACCATACAATGCACCACCCAAGCCTTGAGACCTTTAACCCTTTTTGTTAGGGCACACAAGCTGCACATCTAGTTTACAACTGATAATGAACATCTGCCAGCACAATACAGACAAGGTTAATGGTAAACATTACTTCCCACCCCCCTTCCTTAACACTACATGAAATTGGAAAGCAAAGCAAAAGTAAGATTTTTTTTGGCAAGTAAAAAAAAAAAGAAAGCAATAAAAAAATCCAAAACGTAAATCAGCAACTTTTAAATGTAAAAAAAAAAAAGTTATGCTATGTGAATGAAAACATGTCACAAATATAAAGTAGATGTCATCTCAATTTGGCTGCAAAAGTGAAAATACACTAACACGGTATGATGCAATGCACTCCACGTGTGTTGTGGAACGTTACAAAGTGTTGGGTTATAGCATACAGAATTAATACCACTGTAGTGAATGTGTTGTGTTAAAAAACAGAACGGTACTATAGCAGTTTCCCTGGTTTTTAGGTTTAGTGTCCATTTAGATTCTAGTGTTAAATTCACAGCGGAAAAAAAGGAACACATTTTACCTGCCAAGGACTAGTAATTCTTTGTAGTCAGTTTTGCAATACAGCAAAGCTGTTTTTAGACTTCAACTTTTGTGCAGTGGATCACTGGAAGCTGAAATAAAGACCAACCCTAGCACTTGCAGTAGTTTCATATAAAGTGATATTAAAGTCAAAAGGCTTATTAAATAATTTACAATGGATGCCGCTCCTTCATGTTTGAAAGTTTATTTTCCTACAGAATCAGCTGGTCCCCTGAGCACTGGCCTCAATATCCTGTTTTAGGTAGTTCCTTTCCCTTGCAGGATCCTATAAAAAGGCACCCTTGCTAGTAAACAGTCTCTCCATAAACACACAGTCACAGGAAGGCAATCCACTGCCCCCTCCCACCTGCTCCCCTCTACTCACTATTGTCTAAGCTAGTAGTAGGACAGCTGCTGGAGACTGCTGTCCCTTGTGAACTTGTACTGGACAGGAAGTTCAGGGAAGCTGCTCTGAGAGACTGAGTCAGCCATTTAGGAACATGACGACTTAACAGCTTGGGCAAAAAATGGACAAACACTTTGCTGGACAGTGTATATTACTGTGATCTGGATTCATTATTGAAAAAATAAAAATATTGAATAAAAATAAATACAATATTAAAAAAAGTTTATAAATAAAATATTTTAAAAGAATAGACAAGGCTAAATTCAAACTGCAGCAAGTACTATAGGAGGGCTGGGGAGGTGGCCAAACCAGATTCAAATACAACTAGAGACATGAAGCCCTTGAAAATGTACACTGTAGCACTCCTCTTCCTTCCCCAGCCTCCATTTATTGGCATTGCACTTTTCCATTTTTTCAGTGAAGTGAAGTTACTGTTGAGCTGAAAGATTCAGACTTATTCCCCGGATACTAAACCGCCATTAACAAAAGATTTTCATAGCTACTGTTCAATTTTAAAATACAGAAAATTACAACATTTTTATGTATTGAGAATTTTTCTTAGGATAGGCAGACTGAATTGATACAAAAATGTTAAGAAAAGAAACTCCATCCATAAATGATATTTCAGCTTGAAGTAGGCACAAGTAGGATCAAACAGCCACCGACTTCCCACTCCCAGACTCCTGGGGCAAAATGTCCCCAAAGCAGGTTTTTTTCGCCACCCGCTGCTACAAGGACATCAGGGGTCACTCTTCTGCAGAATAACATTCACCAGCTATTTTCTACACTATGGAGAATCCATAGAGCGGAGTGTGGCATAATTTGGTTCAATAGGGACAACAGTGTTTTGAATTCACACTGGAGGTTGTGAAGATACAAGACTGCATGTAATGACATACCAGCGAGGATATACAAAACTGAAAATGCATGTTTAGTAACCCTGCACACAGTTTTATTTAATAGGGCCAATAAAAAAAAAAACAATACAATCCCAGCTTAATATCACTTGGGGATGTTCTGCAGTTTTCAATCTATCCAGTAGGTGGAGTTCTAGGCTTCTTTTCCCAAGTTTTCTTCCATCTCTTTAGCTGCTTTGTAAAAAGCTTATTTACCGTGTTAAAATAGCTCGAGCCTTATATTACACACACCACTGAAGAAGTCTTAGGAGTGATTCATCTCTTAAGCCTTAAGGCAAAGATTGTGTACAAAGAAAAATGTAATAAAAAGAACGGGTTTGAAGCTCATCAGCTTACAAAAAATGTTTATGGCATGACAACGTGC